ATGCATACAAAATTGTCCTTTTAACTTCTTGGCTATCATCTTACCCAATCCTACCACTTCGACATTATGTTCACTAAATATTTGTTTACCTTGAAGGAACATATGATCGACATTAAATCCAAGTCTCATGACCTATCTTATATCTCTATATAGTCACAAGGTTCTCCAACACTATTTCTCCATTGACAATACTAGCTCAATTGTGACATCCTAGTTTGGTGAAGCTTTAGAAGTTGATTCCAAGTCTCTCTAATTGTCTAATCTACACTAGAATCATAACGTATTGTCCATATTTCTTGAATTAAATATTTCGTCAAGTTTTTTCAATGATTATTTATTTTTCGTGATTATGGGTAATTGTTTGACAAAATTAGTTAGAACTCTTGCACACAGGATAGAAGAGTCTATTTGTTTAAGATAAATTCATAACAATGAGCCTAGGCTTGCCTATTTTTAAGTAGCTAGACTATTCAATTACAATACTAAGAAGCCTATGGGCTCAACTAAGGCCCAATCAAATTAAGAAGCCTATACTACAGCAAATGAGCTCAAATTAAAAGAGAAGTAACACTCCTTGTTAATTCTACTAGGATTAAATATGTTTTTCATCCTCAAACTATTCTAAAAAGTTGTATTACATCCCCTGCACTTTATGAAAGTTATGTAAGAAATTCTTCCCCCAACAATCGCACATGGATGGAGTGTTTTTCATGTGCCACAAAGTTCCACATGGACTAAACATAACCTCCACGTGTCGTTTATAAAGTGCAAGAGACAAAATAGGTACATAGTCTATTTAGGACAAATGCAACTTTTTAATACATCGTTTGAGGACGAAAACATATTTAAAACCCCAATGCTACTATACTCTTACTCTTTAATTGAAACAAGTCCAAAATGTTTTCCTTCATCGAGAAGCTCCATCATAAAATAAACTTGTTAGTATGGCATCCCTATATGCTGTTTTAAGCAATGGTATTCATGCAATATTTATCTAAATCGGTTTCAATAAAATATGGAGTAGAAGGGCATTCTTCATCAAAGACCTAGGAAATCTTTAGAATTTCAAGGTAAAAGAGTTGCTCAATCCAAAGATTCTTTTTTTAAATCCAAGGAAAGATTGTTATAACAAACCAAAGATTATTATAGTAATATCTCATAAGATATATGCTCTTGACATCCTAAAAGAAACTGGTATATTTCACCCACTTATATACCATAATTTGATCATATCTTTAGTTGATATTCAACACATTCATCACACCGAGACCTAAACACCTTGAGCATAAAATGAGATAATTGTGACAGTTCAATAATAGCAGTAGCACATAAGGCCTAACATCTTAGAAGTTGACTTTAAATTTAACTTAATCTTACAAAACCAACTTGTAAAGTGAAGTTTGCACTCACTTATATACTTTTGTTACAAGCCCTACAAGCCCAAGGCCATAGAGAACATATTTTTATTCTCGAGTTCCTTGTTCACCCACCCACATCTACATATGGGTGGAAGGAGCCTTTTAAAATCATGTAAAGCAACATGAAGCTGCCAAGATACACCAAACCCTCATAATGTTGCGGAGCAAGAATTGTTAAGAGATATTAGCAAATGCCATATAGACATTTTGTGTCCTTAGTATAAAGGGCACATGCCTCAATATCCAAATTGATCTTGCACATGTCCCATAGGGGACGGAAAATAGTTCAGTGAGGTTGTGAATAGTGGATTTATAACACTACAAAGTTGAGCATCAATCTTTATACATTGTTCACGATTTTTAGTAGGAACAAATTCAACCAGGGTAGTGAGATGGGATTTGTAGCCTGACCCACTTAATCATAACCAGATTTCAGAAGCCCAGTGGAATAAGTTACAATGTCCTCTTCTTGATATAACAATATGGTTAGAAAAGATAGGAGAATTTGTTATAGAGGCTGAAGGTGGTGTGTTTATAATGATGTTATTTTCAAAAAGCTAGAAAAAATAATAAAATACCTAAGGAGAGGAAAAGCATATCAAACCATCAAAAAAGAATGGGGGGCTCATGTCAAACAGTGGACACCTGATCCCAACCCTTTTTTGCTGGAGAAAATGAAGATCACCGAAAACTTTGTCAAGAAACTCACCAATGATGACACTAGAACAGTGAAAGCAAACTTCGGAGGAAGGTTCATAAAAGAAAACTCCTTTAGAGATAGTGGGTCTACCAAGTCAACATGGTTTTGAAAAAAGCATAGATATCATGTTAAAGTCTAGGCACGAGAGAAACATTGAGCTGAAACTGTGTTTCAGAGACTATGAACGAGTGCTTTATTCATATTGAGAAAAAAGAATTAATACAATAAATAGAGGAGATTTGATATATACAATCTAAATATTCTTGATTATCTTAGATCAGTTCCTTATTTCTATAATAATAAGAGGGAAACTTTATACCTGGAAAGTGGAGACACTGTTGTAGCAAGATCAAATGTGAAAACGAGAAGGGTCATGGATTTAATAACATGTGAATACCTATTTCAAATTGCCTTCTTCGCGACACAAATCCAACAATCGACAAAATGAACCTCATTTGTGATAACCATAGTGGCTTTGCATATTGCATCTAATCCGAATCTTCTATGAGAAGACCAAACATGTGGAAGGCTACTACCCAAACATGACTCCGGGCAACTTTATACAAGCTTCGCAAATTAGTGATTTAGTTAATAGAATGTCTCCTGAGTCTTTAAGGTGCACAGAATTGTTAGGTTTGTAGCCAGGCTAGGTTCATATTTTATAACACTGGATTTAGGTATAATTAATGAAATCAGCCTATATAAACCCAACAACTGTTTGTGTATGAAATACAGTTTCAAGCAGCAAAATATCTTTGTTTTTTCTCACATTTTAAACAATCCTATTATGCATTGGAATCCACCAAAATTTCTTCAGAATAAGTTTTTCAAATTTGTTTTAGAATTGGATCTGCCCTAACGACCTGCACCAGTTTCTCCCCAGGCAGTGCTATGTCTTTGTTGTGCTCTAGCGTCTTTGTTAAAGAATGCTACAATTTTGAAGTGAACTTCATCTCAAGTCAACATTTAAAGGAATGGTTATTTATTCAGCCCTGGTGTTTAAACCCTTGATGTTTTAACAAGTGTTTCTTGTTAGGGGGGCAGATTACATGTCCCATACATTTTAGAGGAAGGAAAACATACACTTAGTTGGAGGATAAATTGTAACAAAATATGAAGTTACTAAAAGCTCAATCATAAGTTTTTTAATCAACTGTTATAACTGCATTTTACCCTTGAAAGTGCCCCCTTGTTATACAATTTGTATAGCTATTTAATTAAAATGCTCCCTTGAGAGAAAGTGGCATACCCAAGTATTTCAATCATCCGTTTCAAAAGATCAAATTCTGAAGCTCCAGGGAATAATGGTAATCCAAGAAACAATTCCGCCACTATGCATCCAAAGGACCACATATCAATAGCTGTTGTGTATCTGATAAGAGTTAAGGACAAAACTGAAGCTAGAAGTGCAACAAAATAAGCTGAAAAATTAAAGAAAGAGAAATTTCTGAAGAGTATACAATAAAATGTGAGACACCCCAAAGATCTTTAGTGTCCTTAAGTATATTTGAAAGCATGAGGATGATGAAAACCACGTTCAAATTAGTATAACTAACATGTCTTAAAATGTTTACAAGATTGATGTATTAAAAGAAGTACTAAAGAAAGACAACGCATCACAGAATCATCCATTGCCTCACATCCCAAAAAATTAAAGGAAAATATGGAACAGATTTATGGATAGTAGTTCCAGTGGATCTGTAATTTAAAACTTTCTTCATTAATTTTCCCCAAATAAGCCATACAAGTAAAATAAACAAGTAACAAGTAAATGTAGAAGCCAAAAGCTTTTTAAAAACAAAGCCATAAGGCAACTCAAACTATAGCTCCACCTGCTGCAGCACATTTTTACATTAAAAGCAATTAAGAATACCAGGCTATTTGTTCAAGTATTGCAATGTAGAAAGATGGTGAAGTAATAGAAAGGAAAATCAATAAAACAACAAAAAGAGAAACCCCAAAAGTAAAAAGGCTTGAAAAGAAAGGCATCAACTACTGTTTCTATCAGTTAGGATACTGATATCCAAGAAGAACCTCAGGAGATCTATAATATCGACTCTGCAATAAAAAGAGGACAAGGGTAGGTACCAGAACAAATATAATTACAATAGGAATCATAAAGTCCTACTTTCTACAGTAAATATAAACCTGAATGTAAGAGTAAACAGTGCGGTTTTCCATGCATGCTGATCCAAAGTCAATAATTTTTATTTCTGCTGGCTTCACAGTGCTACATATGAAACATAAATACATAAAATATCACAATAAAATAGCTGCAGCATACACAGAAAATCTAAGGAAAGGATTTATTCCTATGAACTGACAGACTCGCCTTAGAGAATAAAGAGAAGAGTTATAACCAATGACTACAAAAGTAACCCTCAGATTGTGATTAAAAGCATGCTGATTTATATGATAAATTTAGTTCTTTAAAACTCAACTGGTAATTTTTTAAACGATAGTTATAACTCTTCATTTTACTCCCTCAAACAAATCTGTCCTTTTATAGGTGTTAAATCCTTAACAAAATAGCTGCAGCATACAGTTGTTTATGAGCACCTTGATGCAAGAAACCAACCTCGTACATAAAAGAATGTTTTCTGGCTTCAGATCACAATGAATAACTCCAGCCTCTTTTAGCAGAGCAAGTCCGCATAAAATCTTAAAACAAATTTAAGAAAATTGATTATGAAATATCAAAACTGGAAAAAGGACCAAGTAAGAAAGGTCATACATCAAATTGTAGTACCTGCTTAGAGAATAGCTGAACAATACCAAGGGACAATCCCCTAAAATGATTCATCTTGATAAGCTCATACCTGTACACTACACAATGTCAACACTAAAATATACGGGAGAAAAAGAAAATCTAGGATAGCCATGCAAAACCAATCAAATATGAATTGTGAAGTAGAATGTGAACACCCTTCAAGCTTTGAATTCACTCCTGACTCTCAATGATTATAAACTCTGAAAGAAAAACAGAGGTCTGGAACTCACAAGTTTGTGTCCAACAATTCAAAGCAAATGCACAAATGTCGTTGATGTACAAAATAATCATATATACGAACAATGTGATGCTTATCCTCATGATCATACTTCTTATTTAACTGCATTTTGAGGGGGGGGGGACTTGTGATTATCAAGGTGTCGTATGATCAACAGTTTTGTTACTCATGTATGCTCTTTTTTTTC